ACTAGTAACAGGCTGAGGTTGAACACTTTACACCGAAATCTTTCGTATAGTTTTATTCTGTAATTTATATTATGTATGTATCATGCTGGTTTTTAAATCATATTTAAAACTATTAAGTAAAATCTAAAGGCTTTATCTATAAATGTAGCGGTAGCGCTGTAGCGGCAAAACCTCGTATCGCTACTTAAATATGTAGCGGGCGCTACCGTTACCGCTACATTGCCTTAAATGTAGCGCCGCTACCGCTAATGAAAATGTAGCGCTCTACTGCCCACCTCTGTAAATGGGTAAATTTGACCAAGTTAATGTTATGACCCAATTTTGTGTTTCTCGGTTTGGAGTTGAAACTAGATGATATGATAGAAAAAAAAAATACTGTAGGTTAGCCTATATTATTTTTTTATGGTTCTCGAAGTGATGATTAGGAATAAGAATATATTTGTCCATAGATAAAATACACAAAACATAGGTAATTCGGACTTAGGGGAAAAATTTCAGGTCGTGTAGGGTAAAAGTCTAGCGAAACGACGCGGGTTGCGGCCGGCGGGTATTTAAGGCGAACGGTCGGACTGCGGAGTCAGTCGTATGCTGGAGTTCGAGGCATCCAGCCATGGTGTTTGACTTTGTGGCGCGGCCAAAACTAAGGGTGGGTGCAGTGTGGAAACGAGTTGAGTACGGAGGCGAGACAGTGCGTATTGGAGAGTAGAATTGTGTTTTTTCCGAAATTTAAGATAAGAGTCCGGATTACGACGGAACAAGTCACGGAGAAGTCTTCCAACGCACGCACGTCTCCGTCACATAGCCGTGATTGAGGATTTTCGACGACGTCCGAAGCAAACGATCTGCGAAGAAGAAATTACGTAGCATCCTCGCCGTCTCCGTCACTTAGCCGTGATTGAGGATTTTTGACGACTTCCGGAGCAAAAGATCTGCGAAGAAGAAAACCACGTAGCATCCTCGCCGTCTCCTCACATTGCCGGTGATGTACTAGTTGGGAATTTACTGGGGCAGAGTTATTATTGATTGAGAATCAATCTGCTATTAGCTTGTTCATTTCTTCGGCAAGTCGTGCCACTTACCTAGATTCCAGCTTAGGTCGTAGATCTTGTAAATTGCCTTGCCTTATATTCCCATATGATGTAATAAGTGGGCTGATTAAAAACGGAATAGCCCTGTAAAAAGATAGCTTGCCTCGTTTTATAATTGTTCTGAAATTGTGCTGGACAATGCTCTGTAAATTGGGTTGAAAGCGTATCCTCATGTCCAAGTTCTGTATTGGGATAGTTTATTTCCTCAAGTATATAAGTGGTGAGATAATTATGTGTGTCATTTCTCCTTTGTTTGTCAAGTCGTAGCTGACCAGTTGAGAACCCTTACTTGCAGAAAATTAGACCACTCGAAAACCGGGGTTAAATAACCAACCTGACTTTAGATAAAAACTCAACCGAGATGAGTTATGCGCTCGGATTGATCTCGAGAAGTACATCGTCGAAGTTAAAACAGAGATCGAGGAAAAAGTTCATACATTTTGCTAAAATCCCATAGTCTTTGAAACAGCCATAAATTGAAACTTAGAATGGTTTCTCATTTCCTAAACCTAATCACATGGAAGACATAATAACTGTAGTTCAATTTACTTACCCAAAACTATCACATACTACCAAGACAAACCATTAGAACGAATTCAAATTTATTAATTTTATTCGAGTTACCTCTCATTGATATTAAGAATATTCACAGTGATTACATTGCTTGCGATATGACCATTGCCGAGTTTCAAGAAGTGTAATGAAACGTAAAAAGTACCTTATCGTTTTGTTTTGATCAATAAAGATGAGCACCCTGGTTCTGGAAAGCATTTTTAAAATTTAAATCAATTATATCCCACAGAAGTATTTTTCAGACAACAGCTCTAGGTTAAGCTCCGAGTTCTGGGTAAATGGTCGCTAACTCATGATTTTCATCGTAAAGATCCGAGGTAAGATTGTCAGGTTTCCAATCGAAAGACAGTGCTCAAATTTTTGATGGTCAAGATTCGAAATAAAACTGTAGGTAAATGACCAGGTTGTATCCGGCGGTAATTGATCAATTTTGATGGGTAAATATTCAGGGTAAATGATTGGTACCATGTTAAGCTGTTTATACAAATTGTGACGATACACCCCTTTTACTATCTACTCTTATACATTTGCCGAATATATATTTGACGAGCAACAGATAATTTCAACCATAGTTCATCCACCTTTCATTGCCTCTGCGCTATCATTTTAGTTGTCTGTGAGACACAAGTAGGTCCGGGTAGAACTCACCTGCATATGCGCCGGCAAGAATAGTACATATATTTTTTGAACGCACGCGTAATAATCAAATTATTATTAAACTCGACGTCAGCGCCACTATTGGCTAATCTTACAAGGTGGCGTAGCCTCCTCTTCGACTGGCTGCATGCACAAAGTCATGAGCGCGGCGGATGTTTTCAAGAAAAGCGTCGTGTAAGACCAGCTATATTCAACATCTTTTTCAGCGATATTAATACTCGAACCATATTTATAGTAAGTTTGATTATTTCATTTTCGATCTCTGTTTCGTTTTATTGAATAATTTTCAATGGAAACAGACCATCAGTCTAAGTGGAGAAGTCCATTTGCAAAAATTGTTATTTCATTTTACCTCGCTGCTAAATACACTTAAATGAGGTGGGTTCAATGAAATAAATGGTACAATGTGCTAAATACGAATTGATGGTATGCATAGTACCATCTATTTCGGTATTATCTGCATGTGAACCAAATTTAGTGTACTATTTACCATAAAATAGGCGAAATTAATATAACTATATTTTGCAGACGTGTGAATTGCAAATACTTGTTTAGTACCGGCGGAGAAGATTCAAAATTTGCAGAAAAAATGTATAAGGTATCGTTAGTAACCTGACTGGTTGGTACTTCTACATTCTAGGTCGACATTCACGCACCAGTTTCCAGACTACGGGAACGTAGGGTACAGTGGGACATGGTGCACATAGGGACACGTCAATTATTTTTATGTATTAAAAATTATATTGAGAACCGGTTAGTGATAGCACACAAGTTGGTACATCGATTGACGTGGCAGAGAGACGTGTGGCCCTGTCTTGCATTCCTCTGTGAGCAATAGTTTTATTTAGCTAAGCAAACTAAATATTTCTCTTTACGTATTAAATGTAATAGGAGTGCCTATTGTGCGAACTACAGCTTGACTATGTGATTAATTGCTGCATAATACGTTTCAAATTAATTACTTTTGAGGAATAAAGTTTGGTTTATATTTAATAAAATGGCAGCTCAGTGTTTCCAAAATGGTTGTTTGGGGCACACTGGGACAGTGTCCACGTCCTAGGACGTTCCCAGACTTCATGGCATGACCTCCAATATGAGAAAAGGACCGTTCGCCGCTAAATACTCGTTAAAAGAGATATCTGGCTCGTCGTTATCTTTAACGAAAGAAAAATTCCGTATCATACACAATTCATCTAAAGCAATAGATGAATCGAAGAATTAATGCAAAGAAAAAGTTGAAAATCTTATAAGCCATAGCAGAGAGAACTATAGCTTCATGATTGCGTACTTATATAATTTGGTTCCACGGAGCCAAAAACATTTGAAGTAGGCTTAATAACGAAGGGGAAATAACGCAAATGAGGAATTTGAAATATCTCACCGGAGTCGTAAAGAAAAATCGCTGAATTTTGTACTTCCTGAAGCAGCTGATCTTGGATCAGTTGGTATGGACAACATCAATGTCATTCATAGCGACCCTACTATGTGCGGAACAACAACAACATAAAATTATAAACTGAAATTTTACTATAATTTTGCTATCATATATAGGCAAAGTGTCCCAATGTACCCCATGGACTGTCCCACAGTACCCCGAGTTGGGGTACTATGAGACATTTCATTATATTTTACATTTTTAATAATTGCAGTCAATGGAACAGTTCTAATCATTGCTCAGGAAATAATAGCAATGTAAACAAGGATGTGATGCTTAGTTTTATTCAGCATTTGGTATTTCAAAAATAAAAGTGATCGTTTTTTTTCATATAACTATTCTTTTGTCTCAAATTGTACTCTACATTCCCCTATACGTGTGAGACCTTAGCTGCGACTGGAATAGCAGCGTCGGGCAGCGCGTGTATGAGGACTGGAACTGCATGGCCACTGAGCGGTCAGGTTTCTCTGTAGCGCACGACGCAAGGAGGACAATTTTTGCATAGGAATAAAAAAGAATCATCGGATATAAACGCTGAGTTCAGTAAAACCGGTCATTAATCCCTGTGTAGACGTGTTACAGTTTCAAGCTTTGTTAACTGAGGTGAATTCATATGATGCTTTTGTTACGTGCATGCATGTTGTGAGGTTTTCGATATCGAGTGTTCTAAACTTTAGATCAATATTCAATTGAAGCAAAAAGGTTTTTTAAAAAGTTTCACAAAAAAATATAGATTAGTCCCAATCATAATTTGACGCAACATAATTCAGCGCGAAAAAGTTTCCCATATCTAGGAGCACTGAAGGAATGATGGCTGATGAGCNTTTTAGTTCGACATTTATACCACTCACATGAATATGTCAATTTTGGGCCCAAAACTGATTAATGGTGGATTTTGATGGCAGAGTTCAGTGATGAGAAAGCAAATCATTTCTAAACTTTTTGGAATGCATCGCAAGTTGAAAAGTTGTTAAATTTTGATTTAGCATAGAAAGCCAATTTGATAAGAAAAAATGTAGCAAAAATATTTAAAAACACGCGTATTACATTGAATTAGTTTTACCTGCGTAATTCATAACTACTTCCAACCAGTTGTGGAGGATTAGTACAAAAATTTAACTGGGATGACAGACAAATAATTTCGATTATTTTGTTAAATAATTAAGTGTATTGCCCAATTTGATTCTCTTTTTTAATGAATAATCATATCAAGCTTGCTCTGAAAATCACGCAAGCAACCGCCTCTAAGAGTGCATCATGTGCACTTATCAAAGTTCAGCAACTGCAGCAGAAAAATACACACCTTGACTAAACCCGGTTAAACGTCTGCATTGGGACACTTTCGAGGTCCGGAGGGAGAGCTGGAGGAAAGGGTTGTTGAAGCACAATCCCATACGGTCTGAGGCGATATAGGAGGTATTCAAGCTCGATCATCTTGTCTGGGCCGATATAATGGAAAGCAATCGCGGTGTCTGAACAACAATCAGGGCCCTGAAAGTAATGAATAAGAATTAATTCAAAAGTATGCTCAAAGCCCACTTTTCTCCATGTAAACTTGTTGTAATTGTTATAAATTTAAAGATTGTTGAGTTATAATGAATTTATTATGTAAGGGAGAATTATAAGGCAACGATTAGAAAGTAGAACCTAATTTTTATGAGAGAAATTTTTTGTGCCAAGAATATGTTGAGTGATCTTTGTTTGGCAACTGTATTAACGAATGGCAGGAGAATTCCAGGTTAAAGGCTGTGAATATTTTGTCACTGAAATTAGAAAGAATTCTTCAGTAAAGCATAACCTGATTGGAAGCTACTGCGGAGTAATACCAATGGTTATGGTGAAGTGATTTTCGCTCAATTCTAAACCACTACTAGCCGTCAAATATTGTAAATAACTGGCACACTGAGTTTGAGTCAACATTGTAACGACCTCCGTTTACGAAATTTGAATCAAGTGGAACACTGGTTGGGAATAATAATAGAAACAACATCATTCGTGTAATGTGGTGTTGATGTTACATTACAATATTAAAATGAGTTCACTTGTACGACGTTGTTTCAACATTGCAATTGCGAAGTATAGATCGCTTTCAAAAATTGTATAAACGTCCTCGTTGCAACGTTGTAATCACTTCAAAACACACGTCTTGTAGTTCTGGGAATTATGTTGTTTGAATATTAAGTGTATCATTTGTCTTAGTAAATTGGGATTTACAGACATTCATAACGCTGCCGTATGAATTTCAGTGGAGTGAGTTGAATTGCTTTATAATTTTGTGCGCAACCCATTAATACCCTGATTTCAATGTAATTATGACAAAACTTAGGGGCATTTAATATACCTTCGTGCAGCAGCTGAACAACGAATTTCTAATGTTGAACCGATTCATTTCGGTTATTAGTTTCAAGCTTATGATTATTGTGATTGTGCATGAAGTTGCACTAAGCTCGACGAATATTTCTATTCCATATTTGCGCAGTGGCAGAGTGTAATTTGATGTATGTATTTTTAACACCATCGATTGAATCCGCGTCATTATTTTTGAAAATTGTTGCATCTTCGAATGCAACTCGTCCAAGACTCACTATTTTTGTCGGGTAGTAAATGTAGTCCCAGTACCATCTCTGCTTGGTTAAATTTCCCGGCACGAGGTGGTAAGCGGGGGGGTAGGGGAAGAAGCGACCTCTGCCGCGTTCGTCTCGCGAGTCCCCGGCCAGTACACCGACACTGGTCAAGCATTTACCTGCGGTATTAACACAAACGAAATAAAGAAAGTTTTGAAATTGCAATAGATTTACATTCCCAAAAAGCTTGAGTAATTTCTTGACTTTTCAGTAAATCTTGAGTAAACTAGATTAAAATTGCGTTTGCAGAAACTGATCGCACACACAATGAATTAATCAAAAATTGCATTCCCGATAGATTCAGGAGTTCTGAGAAAACATCAAAATAAACTTTGTATTAAATTATTGTCAGATCATAAAATTCAAATGTTATTTTATATTTTATATCAGTGACTAACAGTGATTGTAGATTTAGAATCACAACGAGGAACTGTAATTCATTGCTCCTGATTAACACTCATTTTTATTGAGCAATCGGATTGTCGAATTTTGTTTACTTCTTTTTCTTAACACACTCGTTAAGTAAGAGTTTTGTATGAATTCATCAGGTTGTTCGTCTGTATCCTGAGAGACAATATTTAAAATTTGCAATCAGGTTTTTAAGATTAAAAATTAATTTAGAAGAGATTCACGTATATCAGATATTAATTTTGATTAAAAGTTGTATTTGCGTTATCAACTTGAATTGAATGCTTCTTGTTTTCTAAAACCGCTAAATCTACTAATCTTCACAATATTTTATGTAACGTTGACATTGTAGATATGAAAAAAGAACATTGTAGTTATTTTGAAAAAAGTTGTACTTATTCATCTTTTATTAAATGTACATGTATTACTTCGTGCAAGCATCCAAGTATAAGCAAGTAGTTTCATTTGAAAGTCTTTAATGGCATATGTTGACGCAGACAATTAACCAAACCATTCAAAGTGGCGCGTTCTCAGGATATAATCAATAGGTCAGTTCTTTGCATAAAATCCCAGAAAAAATTCAGACAACAAACCCATTTCAACATCTTCGGCGCCCTTTTCTTCAGTAGCTTTGCACTTCTTGGGTTTTTTAAGCGCTTCCTCAACGAATTTTCTCACTGCTCCGCGACTAAGAACGTTACCCCCACGTGCAGCATACAAACATGAATGTAATTTGGATAAAAAATATATATATGTATATATTGAAATCCATAACAATATATGAACTCACTTTCGATACCTAATTGGGCCATTATTTATGCGTTGTCATGGGCAACACCACAAAAATAAATAAATCTATGTGTACATGCGGTTCATCGAATTGGCGTGAAAATTGGTTGAGCAGTAAACAGACTTATCGTTGCTCTGTCAATCACTATTATTGTTGTTAGGGATACAAAAGGGCTCGTTTCAGAAAATATCACGAATTATTGGTTAACTGACGAGAATGCAATTGTTTGTCAATATTACATTGAAAACAATTCTATTTCCCAATGATTTTTTTCGAAGAATAACTTCATGATTTTTCGAAGAATAACTTCAATTGTCTGAGCGAAGGTATTGTCTGGTATGGTGCATATGTAGGAATGCGTTCGGTTTAAAAGATTCATATTAATCGATCTGGTCGCGCTCCTTGACGACTCTGAAAAAGAGGTGATTAGCTTCAGCTAGCAAACAAACTACTTTCATTCCTTCTTTAACCCGTTTGAGAGAGAGGGATGGTTCCTATCCTCCACACGTCGTGTGGCGAAATATCGTCGAAAACATGAGGGTTGTAGAATACGTCGGCACGGTACAGATTCTAGTGGCTCTGTAAGATCGACCTACACGCTCCTACGTGCGTGTATTTGATGATTATAAGGTAATTTTATAATTGATGGAAATTCAGAAAATGATATGATAATGGAATTTGTAGTGGGCATAAAAAATACTTTATTATTTATTTAAGTAATAATACATAGTTTTATACTATTATATAATATGGAATACGGAAATGCTTCAATGTATTCATGTTAGAAAATTGCATGGCCAAAATTAAATCGCTTAATGAAACATTGAGTAAAAAGCAAGCTGGGAATTGTCTTTGAATTTTCCATCAGCCTGTTGTTTGTGTCCAGCATGGTCGTGTGAAATGTCGCCGACCGTGTCGCTGTGACTCAAAATTTGTCCAGTCAAAATTCAGGATTTGATTGTAAGACGTTAGTCGTAGATAAAACAGACCAACCCTTATCAGCTTATACTTAGCAACATCACATTATCCTCAGTAGCTATATTAAAAAAAGTTCACAGTGTTCTAAAGTGTATATTTATGCACCATACCTCCGCTCATGAAACCATGGGGGTAAAATTTCTTAAATTTGCAGCCGAAGTAAATCGGTATCTCGGGGTTGTAGAGGCTGAGCATGTAGCGTAAATTTTCAACCACCACGAACCTGAGAAAAAGTACTAATAATTAAACTATAGCGCTAATTATTTTCTAAAATTTTTCTCATCTAATAGATAATGTGCGTGTGGAAAAAGATCCCAAACCTGTTACCATTACCATTACCAGATGAAGAACCCAGCGATTGTTTTTGTGACTTGTTAAATTGTAGTTGAATTCAGTATGGCAGTTATCAACATAACACGCAATTGAAATTCATGATATCGTTTCCAGTGTTAATTATTACGAATGAATAAAATCCGAAGAGTCAATTCGAGTTGGATAATCTCTTTGTTTTTCGTGCGAAACAGATCAATGTCATCTAAAATAAGAACAGCACACCTCATCACGGTACATGAAAAAAGCAGCTTAGTGAGGTTTCGAACTGAGACCCTTTCTTATGCGAATGAAAAGCTCAGAAAATAACAAGAAATGTCTTTTTTAATTACATCAAAAAGTATCAGTCGAATTCTGTAATGTTTGATTTTTCATCTTAATTGGTTACTTTTTGGTATGAGCCCCTTCAGAGCGCATGGTTGCAAGCCTAACAAACCAATTAACTGAATGTATGAGATTTTTTCACGCATTCTCTCGTGTGCAATTCGCACATTCTCATATGATATATACAAAATGAAGTGACAGGAAAGTCCTCTCGATCTGACCGATAACATTGGCGAGATTCTCCTCATTGACAACTTATTAATCAACTGCTTAAAGGAGAATTAAAGTCCATAAGTAAACTAACTTTGAAAAAGGGACCATACTATCCGTACGAAGGTAAGATTAAAGGCTCACGTGTCATCATCCGTCTTCATGAACCAGTCGTAGTCATCAATGTAATGCTGGTGTACGTACTTGAAGGCTTCTTTAGTTTTGCCCCATAAGTGATCATATCTTTCAGTTACGTTCAACTTGACGGTTGGCAATGAATCATCTGTTGATTACAGTTCCTGTAACTTTTTCACATGCGAAAAAAACAAGATCTTTATAATCCTAAATAAAAAGATAAATTTACTAACTTATTATAAGTATATCTCTTTAAAATTTGATTGAAATATGCCAACTGATGACCACTAATCGACTTCTTATTCCTTATCAAAGCCATGGTGTTCAAATCGTTTTACCCGAATAAAAATTAAGGGTGGGGCATTGATGCTTGTAAATGGCGATGATAGTTTATGATGGCGTAACGGTGGGTGTTCACACCTGCTAAAATGCTAAAAAAATTCGACAGTAAAACACCAATAAATCGAGAGGGTGAAGAGTATAGGTGGCGGTCATCGATGAATCATCGATTATTTATATGGTCTCAATCATCGATGGTGCATTGCAGGCATGAAAGAAAGACTGCGCAGTGCATGAAAGAATTTGCCAATGCCACTGTAATTCAACCAACGTAGAAAAGAGTTATTGGGTTGCGCGTCATTCGAGATCAAGACGAAATCATGATTTCGTTCTGTGTAGATAGGAGTGAAACTGACAGACAGAAGCAAGGGTTTCACGAATTTTTCAAGCCAAAGTGAAGAAACTGGGCATGTATCAGACTGCTCCTGATATAAATTACCCGAGGAACAATTGGAAATTTTGTTGTAAAATATACAGTTTTTCGAAAGATGATGGCATATCCAATTTTTCATGTTCACCCGGTGAATTGCGTAAATATGTTGAGAATTTTGCGTATGTACCAACTTGTTGTGTTCAAATATTGCGATAAATTGAGACTAATCTATTGTATCATAGAGTATAAATTGTATGAATATAGGATAGGTTAAGTATGTTTCATAATATTTATAGATACTCAAGCTGCCACATTTATCTGAAGCCACGTGGACGTAATCGACAGTCGGTATCTCAGAAGCGCAGCGAGCGAGTTGAGTAAGAAGTATATGTTCATACCTGTTCGATTGGCGTACGTCGGCGTTTAGCTTCTTTCTTACTAATCTCAGATAATTATTTTGAACATAGTCTACATTTATAATAAAGTGGTCTCGATAGCTTTCCTACGAAAAAGATTAGGCTAGAGAAAAAACCACTGTAGATTAAGGCTAAGAAAAATAGTGTTACGAAGTATTGAACGTGTTTCATGTCTAACTATTCAAAATCATCGATTAAAATCGATTCCTTATTTTGCGCACGAATATTCTTGACGAAAGTATTTCGAATCGAATCTTTATCAAAATTGGTGTATTGTTCATAGTATTAAACTTAGATACATATCAAGCATTTTCTGCTAGCTTTTACTCTGAGCTAAACCATCGTTCATTCTGAATAAACGAAGTTTCTTTCCCAGGCTGTTTATTCGAATGGTTAATTGAAAAATATGTCTTATGGAATAAATAAAATTTTTAATGGAACCATCTAAACATTACGGTGGTCTCATTAATTTTTGTCATTTGATGAAATTATTAATAAAACAATACTTTAAATAAGACTCTTGAAATGACTCGACTGCCATATCCACTACTACGGCTCAACGGTTAGAGGCTTGTCTTTGCGAGAGTGAATTCAGATTCCGAATCCTACAGGCAGGGACTTTTCTTCGAGTCGATTAATCGCGACGTATTTGTCTGGTACTTTGATAATTTGTTCCTGCTACATTATTACTTGTATACTGCATACGTAGTCCTCAAGAATGTGTGATCGTATGAAGCAATATCAGTAAATGCAAATGCATCAGATTTGAAAGTATCGGAAATTTTTTTATAGACTTCATTTTAAAGGTGGCTATCCATAGCTCATCGATGTGCCAGCAGTGCCTATGGGAACTTATCGGTGGAAGATGATATTTTCGGGTCGGATGCCTATCGGAGGAACATAGGCCGGAAACACCATCGATGCCGCATTGATGCGCCATCGGTGCTCCACCAACAATTTCCACCTATAGCCACCAATAATCATCGATGCTCCGCCAAAAATTTTTATATGGGTATTAACGCACGGAAAAAAATTTAACGTCTAATTAATGTAAAGATCATTCTCTCACATGCCTTTTCTCGATATTATTAGAAAATTATATATTTATTGAATTATCTATTACAACAATGCGTCTTTGATTATTAAATATTTAGGATTCAGGATTGTTTATTTTAAATTACCTTCTTTGCTGCTCATGAAGAGAAGCATGTCGACCCTCTTGCCCCAAGTGTCACGAACCGACATAGCCTTCGTCTTGTGGTTTTTTGGCTGAGTCATCACCCACACCAGCACCTTGATATGCCGCTGCAACTGCTTCTGTTCTTCCGCCTTAGACAATTGTGACTCTTTTACGGCGTATTCACGGCGTGGTGGCGATTTTGCCCGAGGGACTAATGAAAATTTCAGAATTTAATAAAATCAAGACTTTGACAAGGAAGCGTTTCTGACAGCGTCACTGCTCAAAAATAATGGTATAAATAGTCGCTTCTCAAACCTCGATTTGATCGCGGCAAAAACAGTAACAGTGGAGGATGGACAGACATTTTGAGAATATAATCAGTATATGGAATTATTTTTTCCTCAAATTGAACCCAGATATATATCGAGTAAATCGGGTTGTCTGTTTGATTTTAAAATTTTGCCATAGATCAATCGATAACATTCATAGCCATATAAGTGATAGATATGAGTCACGAACAAAGCGCGCTAAGCGCAAAAGCTTACTCTCTGAATGTTATCAAATTCTTGTTGAGCAAATTTCAATTGTAAAGGTCGGCGCTAAAGACTGAAATGACTAAATATTTTTTTGATCATTTTAAAGGTTTGGCTTTCGTGTAATACATGCATTGATATGACTGGGCCTATGCAGAGAGCTTTATTATAAATGTTTAACTGCATGACAAGAATCATTACATCCGAAATAATTTTTAACCCATGTCCAAAAAACTTGCATTCACTACAAGTTATTAAGCCCTACAACAAAGTGACAAACACATCATAAACGAGAACACAAATAAAATATTTTTCAGTTCTCACCAAGTCTGTTGTCAACAGAACGTCTGCGTTTCGTGCGTGCACGCAACTCTTTTTCACGCATGAAGCCAGAGTGATGATAAGGTTGGAAAGTAAAATGAATGAAGAGAAGATCGGAAATAAAGTATATCATTTGGAGGGGAAAGTGATGACTCCAGACGGTAGTTCCCAGCATTTCCATTCGACTTTACGTTCCAGGTTGCACGAGTAGAGATGATATTGGCCGATGATTCCATAAAAAGAGATTATAAAAATCAATAAATAGTAGTTCCATTATGCATACTGATTGAATGCATTAGAGGTGCAGAGAAAAGAATCTAAAAATTTTTTATTCCTGAAGATTCTAAAATATGTCACAAATGATTGAAACTTTTTAAAATTCAGCAAATCAAATGATGGGGCAATTATGAATGGTCTATAAGAGCCACATTGCAAAATAAAAACAGATGCAGGTATGTTAAACCTGAAACACTATAAATAGGAGAGCATACGCATCCCTGACCTCACATTCATCGTGGGATTAGGTTGCTATCGCAAAAATAAAAGAGACGCTTCAAGCTAAATCAAAATAAATAAACTCAAAACAATGTCTGCTCATACCTGAGAAGAAGTAATATAAGTAACAATCTCTTAGCAGACGCATTGAAAGTTACCTATAGATAAATTATTATAACTGATATATTACGTCAATACGGTTAAAGTTTAAGAATAAAGGCTAAAACTAAAAAAGTTGCATAAAACGTTTTACTGAATAGAAGTCCTAGATAAACAAAACAGAACGTTTCGGGCTATGCCGATCATCAGCTAGTAAAATACATCTGGAAATACATGGAAATCAATTTTAGTAAATAAATTTAGAAAATAATAAGGAAAGAAAGGAAAAAAACACAACTATTGACCTAGAATCGAAAGAGGAAAAGAGCTGGATTGGTTATTCAATTTAGGTTTAAGTTTATGGATGTAAAGAGACTCTAAAATTCGTAGATCGGTTTGGCTGCTAGCGCTACAAAGACTTGCATAGCCCGAAACGTTCTGTTTTGTTTATCTAGGACTTCTATTCAGTAAAATGTTTTATGCAACTTTTTTAGTTTTAGCCTTTATTCTTAATACGGTTAAACATATGTTTACATTATTATTTCTGATTTTTAAGTTCATTATGAATTGAGAGCTTGGGTCTGTCATATAAACGACATTCAACAAAGATTAGGTTACTTTTCGAACAAAAGTTACTTCACTCTTGAACACATGGCCAAAAGGCACTAAGATATTCTGGTACCTCATGTTTGACGAAGCAGCTCGATGGAATTGAGTAACGGTGTGGGTATCCAAGGAAAGGAGGGTTAGTACTGCTACATTTACGCCGAGTAGCAGGCTGAGTATTAGGTTCAATCTCGGAGTCTGAAAACCTGCCAACAAATACCGTTTGATTAAGGCACTGGCATTTCAAATTCCTTTGCAAACTTACCACACATTTGAATGTGAAATGTGACCGTGCTATTGAAGAACGACATGAAAAGCAACATTTATAAATATAAGAACATAAGAAACATGTCTGCTCTTAGAAGCCTCGTCAGGAAGCCAACACTTTTTCAATTCCAACAGATCAACAATAGGTGTTCATGAGGAATCCTCCAACTCGTGATACAAACTTCGAACATTTTTACAAAAAAAAATAAGAAAATAAACATTTAATACACATTTACTCATGTACAATGCAATGTTTAAAAAGTATTCCTTACTATCTGGATTCTAGGAAAGGTGCTGATTAATGCCCTACTCGTCTCATTCTATCATCGTGATTGAGAAAGTCTAACAACTAATATTCCATAAGTTCATTTGATACCACAAAATTTATAACTGAATTTGAGATAGAAAAATTTAGGCAATTCGCCTGTCCCGTTAATTAATCTTTAACTGGGACATAACGTCAAATCCACCTGTTGTCATAAGCAAATTCTGAATACAGTCGCATATTTGTCGAGTGAAATAATTGGTTCGCCGCTCAGTATTCAACTGCACCCCTAACAGTATGTCAGTAAAATCTCCCGTAAGACGCTCAAGCTGCAAATGTGAGCCATCAAAATTTCTTTAAACAATACCAGTCTTGAAATTTTTCAAAAAATGGTTTTGATTCTGACTCCGTTGAACGCCGAGGAGATTCCCATGCCGTATTACAGGTTTGTGCGTGATACGAGCACCAACGCGCTAAAAGATCCTTGAACAGCACATTCGTAAGAAACATTATCTTCAATGTTCATAGACATGAACCTACATGCAAATCCTTCACGTGGGATGGAATTGGTTGGTGTGAGCTTCTGCCAAGGGTAAATATTGTTGTCGTTGTGAATTCGCTATCCCAATGAATGAGAACACATTTCAAGTGAATTTGCCGTTGTTTGAGTGTTTACATGTTGATTTTAAATATATTGACGCAGACTCTGCATGGTACTCATCCAAGTAGCTTGCGAGTGCAGGATGAGAATAACCAAAATTAGTACTGATATCAGCGAAACCTCCACTGTCTTGCTTGTAATGATTTATCAATGAAGAGAATCTATATTAAAAAGGCACGGAGAACATTTGAGTAATGGCGCTCGGTCAACTATAACGCAAATTTCGGTAGGGAGCGTACGAAATAAGGCCTCCAGCATCAACGTTAATACAGAGATCACAGGGCAACGTGAAAATAAAGTTGAAGTTATCCATATGCTCAGATTAACCCAGTACGTTTTTACAGAATAATAGGGTACAGCATGTGTCTGGAGCAACGTGCTTTACAGCCCCAAAATTTATTTTTAACTGTCTAGCTGCGGACACTACAAACTCGCCGGCAAACGGCACTGGTCGGCGTCCCCACATCAAATAGACGCCGTAAGCAAAGGGGCACTGCGATTCAGCTGACATACGGTTGAGCTATAGCTATAAATAAGTATGTTTACATCACGGCTCTGACATTGGCGAGCCCGGTAAGATCAGGGAAGTAAGTGATATTAATCATTCAAATAGTTTGAGGGAAAATTTAACAACGTTTTTAGTTCGAAGGGCAGTCAATTGTTCTCAGACTAAACGCTAAATATCTGCTAAAAAGATGGCGCATAAGTGGTCGTTCTAGCACTTTCGGGGCGCAGCCGTAGGCCACAAATTTTACTTGTAAATAAGCCCTGGAGCCAACTCCCAGCTTCACCACGCATTAAATTTACTCAGCCTCAGAGCTAGAAGCTGCAGACTACGCTTGAACTCCGTAACCAAGACAAGCGACACACTGCCAAAAGATTATATCGCCGTAGTCTTCAGCCAATGCGTAAGCATGCTCGCTCATAGCAGGCAGTTCCTCCTTCGGCTGTACCTACTACGGCCTAAACTCTTCTGACCCAACCAATTCTCGCTGTCCCGGCTCACAACCTTCTTGCAGACTGGCTCTTTCAGCACACTTGGACCGCCTTTCTAACTTCCTGCCACCACGAGGTTAGGTTTGGTCCGCTCAGGTTTGTTTTAGGTGGAAAATAGTTGCAACTTGTGTAGGTTAGGCCGGAAGAGGCTTGGCCAGATGCTGTATGGCCATGCTCACCATCAGCAAGCTTATTTTGTGGCTGTGGACATCCAGCGCTATGGCTTTGAGCATTTGACTTCATTAGGGATTTGCATTTCCATCCCTACAAAAGGATGATGGCCCAACAATTGAACGAAGCAGACTTTGCCAGCCGCCGAAATCTGTGTGAGAACATGCTTGGACAGATAGCTCCCGACGCAGCGTTCCTCAGCAGTGATGAGGCGCATTTTCACCTCTGTGAGACTGTAAATAAGCAAAATTTTCATTACTGGGCTAAAGATAACCCACAAATTATCCATCTAAGACCACTACATTCTCCCAAACTAACGGTCTGGTGTTCCATCTCACAATTTGGTGTGATAGGCCCATACTTCTTTGAGGAGGAGGAGGGAGTAACCGTGACAGTGAATTCCGAACGCTATGCTGCAATGTTGCAAAATTCCTTGCAGGCCAGGATGGAAAACATTGTTGAAAATTAAACATTGGTAGACGTGTGGTTCCAGCAGGATGGGGCTACAGCTCACACAGCCCGAATGTCACTCAATGTTTTGAGACGCATGTTTCCCGGACTTCTGGTGTCTCTGAGGTGTGATTTACAGTGGCCTGCGAGGTCACCTGATTTGAGCATTTGCGATTTCTTTCTTTTGGGACATCCAAGAGAAAGGGTGTTCAGAAGTCGCCCTCACACCCTACCACAGCTAAGGGAACGAATTATTGCAGAGGTTATGGCCATACCTCGCCATATTTGCGAACGTGCTGCAGGAAATTTCCGAGAACGACTCCAACAGTGTGTTGCAGCTAACGGCCAACTTCTTCCTGATATTAGTATTAAAATTACTAGATTGCTTAAGTCGCAAGTTTACCAGGAATTTAAAAGCAAAGAAAACAGCCAGAATATTAACCATTTCTTAAGAATGAAAACGTTTTGGAGTCCAGCTCTATCGTCAGTTCAAAAGTTCAAAACCTATAAGAAAATCAGAATCAATTAGAAAACTAAATTCACATCGAAGATAAAAACATAAATTGGCAAAATAAAAACAAATACACATAAGGAGACAGGCCTATCTATTTACAATTTCAAGGGGATAGTAGCTGAAAGCCGCATTTAAACCAGGTTTCTGTTTAAAAATATGCAGGGATTCTAAAATCCGTAGGTCATTAACACCGGTCGTGTAAGCAAAAACTCTGAAATCACTATCAGACACCGGAACATTGCACTGCTCGGCATGGACGCGCACAGCTGAATGAGGAGGATGCGCAAGTAATGTTCCCGTTCTAAAGCTTCTGCCCTTATGCCTGTCTCTTATACACATCAGATGTGTA